GCTTCTTTTGTATTACTATAATTTTAATGATTTCATGAAAAAATAAGAAACACTGAGGGGAAGAGTTGAAATTCCAACAAGAATATGTGTCCTGTTGGGATTGAGCCCACGTCTCCTATGTTGATGTCAAGTGTACTAACCTCTGTACTAAGGACACTTGGAGATTAATGAATGTGGAGGGTCAATGAATGCTACTGGTGTTTATGAAAATACCCATTTGGAGGGTGGAAGCCTGTAATTTATAGGTGATAATGTAATAGACACCAGAAGTTATGATAACGCCTAGAGAAGCAGAACGACACTCAAATGAGTATGACATAAAAAATTCACAGAACCTGGTTGTCCTCACCAGCAATAACCACTCACTTGCTTCTCTCGCCAGCAAAATTAGCTAACTGTTTTCTATAAAAGAGGCTCTTACTATATCTTATTTAGTCATTATTGAAAGCACCTTATTAGAGGAATGTATAAGTATAATTAATTAAACACATTAAATACACTGGCAGAGTCATTACTCCCAGATTTGAGTGCCATACTAAGTTGAATCATTCAAGCCCTTCACCACTAGTGATCCTTATGTTGTATCAAAGACACAAACTATCACTTACATAACTTTCAAGCATAGCTTGGAAGTATTTTATCTGATATTTTGAAAAGGCAGAGGCTTCCCAAATTCAGAAAGAAAGGTGTAAAAAACACTGTTTGAGTCTTACAACGGGGGGACTCTTAGTGGGTTGAGCAGTGTGCACAAAACACTTGTTCAATCACTCAACATCACATTGAAAAAACCCAACACTGTCAATATCAGCAAAAACCTTCTTTCCAAATGTTGTTTTGTAAGCAAGATGGCTAATGTGCCTGCTGATTTTCTGATTTTAACAGGTGAGTCTTTCATTGTTGGAGAATGAACCTCACAGTCACAGCTGAAAATTAAATGTTTCATACACAGCAAGATGTCACGTGAATTTATTGAATGTTCAGATCACCTCAAATGCGGAAGAAAGATCAGTGATCAGTTTTTTTCTTCAAAAACCATTCTGTCAAATCAACTTGAGCCCTTAATACACCGTCAAGCATACCAAGCTGTGTATCTCAACCAATCAACCTTGCAAGATAAGCCCATAGAGATTCAGGAGGAGTCTCAATCAACATCAAGTGGAGGTACAGCTAGACTGTTTTTTCTTTCCGAAGTTATTAATCCGATTCTATTCATCTCTCAGGCTTGTTTGTTATTTAATTTATCTCCTAAAAATAATATCTCTGTATTGTCTCTATCTTGTGAAGTGGGTAGGTTCAGATCATAAGAAGGTAATTTCTTCATCGTTCTAATTTATATTTCTCTTTAATTTTATTTCTTTAAGTTCTTACTACTCTTAGGTCTAATTGATAGCTGAAATAAAGTGTCTAAAATCTCAAAATTCTGCATTTATTTCCTTTGATCTATCTCCCTGTTTGTGGGAAGTATTCCTGACTGGCATGACTTTACTAAACAAATGAATTGTCAATATTCTATTGTGATTTGTTGAGGTCTTTTGCAAGGTCAATGAAAAACACAAGAGCGGAATGTTTCCTTCATGATGTGAATGACCCTCATTTCAGTTTGATACCTGTGATAATCTACCACAGCATCATTGCAATTGATGTGAAGGAATCAACAGTAAATCAGTGTCAGTTTGAGTTCTTTCTAAAGTTGAAGCCTGTAGGTTACAATTTCTTAATCTGAATCATCCCCTTTCTTCCTCACCAATGCTGTGATCTTTATAGCTTCCTTTCATGAAACCATACCTGGCCATTAGCACAGTGCTGGGCATGAACCTGTTAATAATTTTAAATCCTGATGAAATTACCAAAGACAAAACCAGACTTCTCAAGAACAACATCAATGAGCTAGAAACAAGAAAGACAATATAGAATAAGAGAACTGAGAAAGGATAATACCACTTTGAGATATTAAGACTTGAAAGGGAGGCTATTCAGAGGTTATTTGATGAGAAAAAGCAAGGTTAGACTAAAAGGAGAAAATCATAACATGAGAAATGAGCTTGGAGAGGAAGAAGATAAAAGAAAGCAATTGAGAAAATTTTTTGCATAAAAATTTGACTCTGCCATCAGATGGTTCTAAAGATAGGACTGAGATAAAATAAAAGAAGAATAGAAGTTTTAGAGAAAGAAAATTGAGGATCAGTTAAGAAGACATCACAAAACAGTTGGAAAGGTCAGGAGATAAGTTTGAGAGTGGGAAGTGTCAAACAAAATCAGATGTAGAGGACATTTCTTGAGAAAAAAGAACAGATTGATTTTTGACTTAAGGTAAAAGTACATTTGGTCTTGATGCTGAAAGATAAAAGATGAATGTTTTGTTGGGAGAGAGAGCTGATGATCAGAAATCATCACTAGAAGCAATCCAACTTGGATTGAGGTTTTTGATCTTGATGAATCTTAAATGGTTCTTGAGAGAAGTTCTTTAATAGTTGAGAAACTAAGATGACAGATTTCATGCCAACATAATCTGACTGATCAAAGAGGAACACAGCAACAGCAACTAGAATTAATTGAGAGGTGCCCTTGGGCACAGATTCAAAAGACAATGCAAGGATTCACAGGGGGGAAGGATCACAATGCTCTTCCAAGATGCTGGCGTCAGAATGATCTATTTGCCTCTTTACTTTCCAGAATTGAATCCTATCCTATCAAAATTCACTTTTCCCAAGTCAAGAGAAACCTTTGTCAAAATCAAGCCTTGGTCAGCAATCCAGATCCCACATGGACTATCCAACTCTCCATTCACATTGTGGTTTTCCCTGCCTTATTGCATGTGTTATAATACCACCATTGTGAATATAAGTTCCCTCCTGATTCCTGTGATTCATCTAGTAGAGCTAGCAGCAATGATTTTGCTATCATTATTGAACAAGTGAAAAAGAAGGTTGTGTACTGTGGGACTCAAACCCAAAAACTAATTATTGGTGATTGATGCTCTAACAACATTGCTCATGTGTTGGTTTGTGGATTAAATTAGTTATGTACAGCTTGTGTGTGGTGTTTTGCCTCCAATGCTTTTAGGAAGTCTCACATGAATGTGTTAACAAATGTGTACCAAGAAGTGCCTAGTTTGACCCTTCAACAATCATGTATAGTGAAAAGATGTCTTTTATCTGATATTGCCTGATGTATGAATCTGTCTAGTACTACACTTTGAAACTACGGTTTGAAGCTGCCAAATTATTCTTTATCAATCTGTTAAGAAATTAATTTCTGCTCAATTTTAAGATATTTGTTTTTCTGTTTGGCACTCAACAAGTTTAATGAAAAAATAAAAAATGGGAGACTCATAAAAAAATTGGGAGACAAGCCTTTCCATTGAAAATGGCATTACCAAAGCGGCTTGCCCCTTGATAATGTATCAATTCTACCAACTTGCCACTTTTCCTAAGTTGTTTGGGACTTCTTAATGCCTAAGTGGCTTCGGAGTTAGCCATTTGTATTGTCCAAGTTGCCTGGGATGAAGAGAAAAAAATCAAAGCTCCTTTCAAACCAAATGATTTCATTAAGATTGTTGAAATTTTCCTGGTCAGTCAGAGAAGTACCTTGACACTCCTGCTGCTGTAGCTCTATGATCTCCGCATCTAGTGAATAGTGGTGCAAAATCTCTCAGACAAACTGGTTAGGGCTACTTGGGCACCTTGCATTTATTTAATACCAAACATCAATATTTATCTCAATTTCTCACTCTGATCTGACCAAAACTACTCAAGGCTCAATACTCAAGAAACTCAAGAGTGGCATTAGACCAGTAAATTAATCTCCGTGACCAATCCTTCCTCATTTAAGAATCACCAATTCAATCTCTACTCTTTCAAAATTCTGGACAACAGATTAGCATCATCAATTATCTTCCTATCAATAAAAATAAAAATTCTATTCATCTTGAAATGTTTGTCTTTTCTTCCTTCTTTATTTATTCCTGTTTGATGCCAAAACTGATCTTCCTTCTGATAATGATTCTGTCTCCTTTGTTTTTCTCTTTCTCAGTCTCCAACTCCATTCTACATTCTCATTTTTATGATCTGATGTGGTGTGGTGTGATGTGTGTTGTGTTGTGTGGTGTGGTGTTGTTGTACTTGAGATGAGTTGCCTGAGTTTGGATTCGTGACATTCCACATGTCACGAACTCAAAATCAGGGTGAGGTTCCACATCCTCAGCCAACCTTGCAGATCCTCATCTTGCAATCTAACATCAAGACTCACAACCCAGAATACCCAGTCCACCCCCCTTCCTTAATATAACTATCCAGTCTATTCTTATTTCTCCTTTTTATTGTCTCTCAATTATACAAACTCAAACTCAAACTTTTCTCATTTCTTTTTCTTTTGTCGGTTTGGTTCTACTTGGTGTTATAAATTCAGAAGCTTTTTAAAGACCTTCACTTAGAATGGAGTTCTGGGCATGGGGAGCTTGGAGTGGCACCAAGATGATCTATGAGACTCATATGTTTCAGATATCTTATGTTTGAAGGGGAGTTCAATAATCTCATCCAATTTTTAGCAGACCAGTAACTATTGCAGACAATCAGAAAGTAGACCAATAGGACAGATCCTATTCAGGAGACAAGAGATATACCAGAAATAAACTGTCAATGGCAATTGACATGAAACCCACATAGATTGACATCACAACCCAACTCTGCGCTCCCAAGGTGCCGGGGTGGATTGTGTAATTAAACACTGTGAAACCCTTGCAGCTACTCACATATATTGCTATTCCACACATGTTCAACTAAAATTCCATGCACAATGAAATAAAAGCTGTGCAGCCCTGCATGCAACTGCTTATATTTCTATGAATAATCTGACTTGCCGCCAAAAATTCTATTCAAAATGCAAGAAAGGCTGTGTAACCCTGCATGCACCTGAATATAGTGCTATGTGGTCTGATAAGCTACACCCAAAAGGTCTTCCACCCAAGATTTGGGTCTGCCACTCTTCCCATCCATCCATCCATCCATCCTCCTCTTACAATTAATATCCCCTCCATTGTGGAAAGAAACACTGTCTGTTATGGAACTGAGAGTTATTCTCTGTAGATTTCACATAATCTTTGGTTTCACTGCGGAGGACTGAATCAAACTGTAAGCAAATTCTCAACAAACACTCCTT